ACAGACAACCTCTCGTCAATATGCGTTTTTTGCATTGCATTGCTGCAAAAAACGCATAAAAACAATCTATACGTCAGTGCACTGATGCATAAGTTGTTTGGGTCAGCTGGGAAACAGGGAGGCAAGAGGAGAGGGGAAGGTGGAGATAGTGTGGAATAATTTGCATTGACCTTGTGCATTTCGACACGAGCACCATGTTTGAAGAAGTAAAGGCGGGTTGCAAAACCTGGAAATACAACAGCCAGATTGGAACTGGTCATTTCTGTTCTACAATAATGCAGGTAAATGGGCGAACAATGTATCGCGCCGAGCTAGTGCTACCAATCAACTCACCAATTAAAGAAACTATTACACTGAAAAAACCAATGGAGAACAAAAAATTGGCGCAGATGGCTGTTGCTTTGGAGGTAAGTAAAAAATGACCAAAGACGGTCACTCTGCAATTGATTCCAGAAACATTTTATTTCTTTTTGTTTCCGCTTTTTTTTTTATAAGATTTATTTTATTTATCTTCTTTTTTTTGCTTCTCCAAATAGTGATCGTGTTTCGTTTCATGTAATTAAGGGTAACATTGATTCGTTATTTCTTTTACTCAGGGAGGAGAAGAATGTGTTTGGAGGAAGGAAATGCGAAAAATTGGAAAAAACAGTTGAAAGGAAAATTTTTATGTTTTTGCGTTGCAGCGCTGTTGTGATGCAACAGTGAGCACTGATGCCGTCAACATGAATAGCTATAAATTTAATATTTATAGGCGTGCCGACGGTTGCACCAAAGAAAGGAGCTGAACGATAATCTGCTTCCGGTCGGTAAAGGTACGACTGCGCTGACGGTTCTGGATGAAGATCCAGACGAATTCATTCCGAACATGAATTATAAAGTCGGATCTGCCCGGCGCAAACAGCTTTATGATAAAAGGGTATATATTTTTCACCAAATTGGACCACCTTTTTTTAGCTTTGGTGCTCTGTCATCCCTCTTTTTTTCCCCCTTGCTGAGGAGAACATCAATAATGTTTTCGTCTTCTCTCGAGAGCATTACAGTTTGTTTTATATTCAGTGGTACGAATCCTTTTATTTTCTAGTAATCGTCTTCATAATTACTCTCATACCTTTTGTCGGAAGCAGTGGGTTTAAATCACACTTATGTATACAAAAAATGCCAAGATATTCTTTATAAGTGCCAAGGTATTATTTCCACTTCTGTAATTTACATAAATTATCTTAATTTTTTATTCATTTTTTAGCTAAATCGCGCTACGGTTCGACCATCCGTTTTGATGTTAAATTAGTAATGTCATAGATCAGAAAATCAAACCCACCATCGGCTTAGTTTTAGCAACCTCAAAAAAGAAGGCTCGGCGGTCTCGCCAGCGGAAATAATACCCACTTGTTGTTGGAGCTTGCTACCATTAAGGCTAAATCCCGGATGCCTCATTTCTCGTATAGGGTGAATATGGAAGGAGTTTTGACACTGATAATGTAAGCGAAATAGTTTCTTGTTTTCCAGACAGCTTCCTTCTTGCACTATTTATAAGAAGCTCGTTAAAAGCGCATGGCTTTTAAGTTACACATTTTTAGTTTTTCATAATTTGATATGGGTAATCGAGCGATTTCTCAAACTCATTTACTGTACCTGTATAACTGATAATTTTGAGATTTAGATGGCCAAAGCGTTACATAGTTCGCTCCCGAGTGCCGGTGAAGAGTGCTACATCTATGTGATGGAGGTAGATCTTGTCCAGGCTGTCTCAGGTGCGGCAAATCCGAGGAATCGTCGATTTGTTAATCCGCTTGACACCGAATTTTGTTTTGGCTTCTTGTCGAACACAAAGATCCCCAAGGTATGTTCGATTATGGAGAATTTTAATGCTTCTGTTAGTTAATATTCACAGGGAACTTGCCAATTCATGTGGACGAGCTAGTGTTTGAGCTAGGCATTTTCAGAGAAAAGTCAAACAACCTCGTCGTCGACGTTAGCAGGGGTTTTGCACAGTCCTCTTGCGTTGATAATTGCCATTATGGAGCCTTAACTTTCCATCCGGCTTGGAAATGCTATGTTTACCTTGTAGTAATTTGTCCTTTACGTTTTTTGGGGGTCAAAGGGAAACTGAAATTTTGGGACAATGTGATCCCTTGTGTTGCTGTAATAATAAATGTTTAAAATTGTCTTCCGTGCTTTTGACTGTTCTTGTAAATTATTCATCCAGCTATTCCTTCTCAGCTAATCCCACTTCCGAAGACAAAAAAAACATTGGCGACGCGCATAGGTCAAGCCCGTAAGATCATGCGTTTTTGTAGTATTTAGGGTTGTTGTAAGTTCGCTTGAAGTCCAAGTAGCTAGAATTTATGGCACACTAGTCCTAGAAGTTCGGAAAATTAATTGTGCAACTACAGGTTACTTAGTCAGGGGACATCCCCTCGAAATTTTAGCTTACCAGCTTTCCTGGTTTCTAAGTTAGCAACTTGCCCGCTAGAAACCTTCACGGGGTCGTACGTGAGAACCACGCATACCTGGGAGTTGAATATGGAATCTTTGAGTTCTATGTGGGCGGAGAACATAACCGCAGTATTTCAGCTTTCTAGCTTTTTCCGTTCCTGCGTTGACGTTTTTCCCGCCAAAAATTTCGCCCGCTCGTACGTCGAACCTAGATGTGTGTGAGAGTTGGTGCCACAGTCCTGGGATGGTACACAGTCGGGGAATCTACTGGTAAAATCTTAGCGCCGGAGCTTATTTGATTGTCGAGTTGAAATACCTGGACAGACGCATACACACACACACACACACATACATACATCTTGGTCGTTACAGTATGCGTTTTTGCAATTTGCATATAGGCAAAAACGCATAAAAATGGTGTGCAGTACACAGGATATGCGTATTTGATCTAATCAGAGAGTTTGGCTTGAAATGTAGGTATGATAGAAGGTTGATATTGCAGTCCTGGTTGGTTACAGCGACTAAATTCGGGGCATTGTACCCTTTTGTTGTATTTGGTTGCCCAGTTGAAAATTTGTGACACACATTTGGATAC